CTTACTTGCCCGCGGATGTGCGTTTGTGTATGGAACAGTGACGCGACGTAGCACTTAAATAGTTAGAAAGACGCTTATTATTATCAAAAACAGCTAATCGTAGCATTTTATTGCGTTTTTGTTGTATCACTGTTTAGTTGGAAAAAAAATAGCACGAAAACTTCAGAATGTTTTCCATCCGTTACTCTCATCTCTGGACTGTATTTGCACTTTCCATCAGGCGCGGTGCAGTCATTTTGCCGAGTCGCAATAAAAAAAAAAAAGAAAAGAATCATGGTTCGTGATTTTGTTGTAGAGCATAGTTTCCTAAAATGGTCCCTACTGCCCCCCAGTGGGCGCTTCAGAGTCCTAGGGGGCGGCAGGGGCTTCGAGAGCAATTGGAGGGCGTTGACGATGATGACTTTTTTTGTATGTATGTTACGCGATAACTCCGGTATTTGTTAGCCGATTTTCATGATTATTTTTTTGTTGGAAAGAGGGTATCTTCATAGTGGTCCCATTTAATTTTTAAGAAATTCGTCCACCTGTAAGGGTGGCTGTTCACGCATGTAGATTCATTTTTATAAATAGCGCCTAAATTTTATTATGAGGAGCAATTATTTTAATGATTGATTTTGCTATTCTCCAATTCAAGGCGATTCTCTCTCTCGATATACTTTGAGTAGTAAAAACCGATTTTTATTATCTCTTGTGTCAAGTTCCGTATAGTGGCGAACTAGGGGATGAATCCGGGTTTGTGTTAATGTAATTCCACGTACTTTTGAGGTCGGTTTTATGCAAATAAATATCAATCAAAATCAATCAATCAACATGAATTATCGATATAAACTCCACTACATATAATTTTTTTCTTGTGTTTTTTAGTGTTAATATAAATATCAATAAATTATTTCTATGCTTTTTAAATATTGTAATGTTTCTCTCAAACCTTTAGCAACAAAATTTAAAAGCAAGTTGATACTTACGGTAACGTGTTGTAAATTTTTAGCGCCCCCAACAAAAATACTTTTGTGCATGAAGGTAGTTTTACGGACTTTAAGATGAAGTCGGTCATGCCCTGTTGAATAAAAAACGTGTGTGAAAATATATTATGAGGTGCATTCGTACAGTTTCGTAGATGTAAAGAGTTAATTTAAAAATAGGTAATTAATATTGTAGACTACCAAAAAGACAGTTTGAATTTTTTTTATACTGACAATCGCACTAATGATACACAATAAATACAATTATACTTAGCGTTACGCTGTTATCGTGTAGGAAATCTGTAACCACCAATGAAAGTGAAATTTTTATAATTAAAAACTTTTGTTTCTTCTCTAAAATAAAAAAAAACACTCATAGCCCCACACTAGGCAAACCCTGTATCGCGGGTGCAATTGACACGCAAATTACACCCAAACTTACGATAGAAGTAAATGTAGGCCACACAAAAATATTTCTCCCGGTTCGGGAATCGGACCCTCCGCGTGGCAGATCAGCAATCCGTTCGGCCACTGAGGCAGTCCTGCATTCAAGTTTTCGGAACTTCCCTTAAACATGGTTTTGTTAGCTGTTATGTTGATTTAGGTATATGAGACAAACAAAGGCTGTGAAGGTACCTGACTGAGTGAAGAAAAACTTTCATATATTTCTCACAAATGGCGCTACGGTAAAAAGGTTGAAACCAAAAGCAAAAATCTTCAACAAACACATAAAGAAATTTGTAAGGTCTGCTGGTTCATTCCGTAGCGCAGTTGGGAGAGTATCTGTCACGATATGGCGAGGTCGCTAGTTTGAGTCCAGCCAGATTGAATTGTGTTCTTTTTCTGTATGATACAAGATAAATTTTCTGTATGATAAAACACTTGGTGGCAGCAATAGTTAAGGTAGATTTCCCTGAACGAACTCTTTTACAAGGAGCTTTACTGCTACTAGAATGCCATTAAGTTACATTTTCGAGTTGATATTTACAAAGTTATTTTGTAAATAACGTGTACCAACAAAAGTGTGAAACGGCAGACGCATCCTCGCTGATTTGTCGGCAGGCTTTATTTCCGCCTGTCGCGTGGAAACCCGATAGCGCCTATATTTTATTTCCAATATTTCACCACTTGCAATAGAAACATACAGTATCTCGTAGGTGCCGAAATCGAGGTCAAATGACGAGTGACATTTAATTCAATTTAACATTCAAATTCAGCGATGTTCATTGGTTTTTAAAAAGAAACATCTAGATAATATTGGATTCTAGTCGAATTTAAATGTACAATAAGTGGTACGCGTGCAAAGGCATCATGTATGTCAATGAAAAATACGGTATCTTCTGTGTTGAACTTATTTACAAACAAAATAAAAAGTTATATAGATCTGAGCACGTGCAATAAATTATTTAAAAAAATATCATTTAAGTATTGGCATTTTTAAACGACTTTAAAAAATGAAGAGGTTCTCAATTCGACCGCATTTTTTTGTGTGGGTTGACATGTAATGCATTATTTGCGAACCGACTTCGATTTTTTTTATTGCAAACCTCGGTAATGGTCCTACACAAATTTTAAGAAAATTTCACCTCTAAGGGAAATTAGGGAATGAATCCGTTTTATTGGATTTCACCCACTTTCCGTTAACCAATTTCAATAAAAAACTTGGCAAATAGATTTTTTATTTTTCATAATACCACATGACGGGACGAACAAGTCGTGCGCCTGGTGGTAAGCGACACGCCTATTCATAACAGTTGCAATGACACTCAGAGCTTTAAATAGCAAAGATCTTAGGCGCACTGCCACTGCGCCCATTACACTGAGATACAAGTTGACAAGTCCCATGTGCCTGTAAATTCACCCCTTACCGTTCAAAACCGGAAGTAATTTTTATTAAAAAGTTATAATTGTCGCTAGGATAATAAAAAACCAAGATATCCTTTATAAACTGGGTATAGGTTACACAACAAACACAACTAAAGAAAATTGTAATGGAATATTGTACCTACCGATAGTGGGGAAGTTCAATTAATAAAAAAAAATGATACGGGATGAAAGAGGAAAATATTGGATGATGTCGGATGCACACCATAGGTTGAAATTGAATTTCATTCAACGTTTAATGAAGTTTTGCGCGAAAAAGTCATTGTTTTGTATACCTATAGATAGTGAATGCACCGTACCCGCACATAAACAAAGAACATTAGTAAGAGAAGGAAAATGAGACTCTTTATTTTATAAAATATAAATAAGTTTATGTTTAGCTCATGAACAATAATAATGCTATAATAATCACTACAATCCTATAATATTAATTTCAATAAGTCTATTCAATGTTATTACCTAAATATTGTCGAGTACCTACGTAAACGGCGCATTGTGTTAATAGTTTATACAAACCATTGGTAATATCATTTAATTACCACTTAATAATAATACTTAGCCTACGTAGACCTCAGTAGGTCTACGTAGGCTAACTATTGTTATTAACTATTTTTATTATTAACTGTTTGTGTTGTTAATTGAGGCATGTGCCTAACAGTTTAGGCACATGCCTCCTCCCACAGTGAGAAGGCTTGGACTGTAGTTGGCAGCAGTAGAATTCGTTGTGAAACAGTTCGTCCAGAGTTGTACTGCTATCTTATCTATGTCTGCCGCCGAGCAGTAATGTTAGCATTATTGCATTCCGGTTTTAAAGGGTAAGGGTGCTGGTGGGCAGGCACATGGGACTTATCAACTTCTGTCTCAGGGTGACGGGTGCAGTGGTAGTGCCCCTCAGGTCTTTGCGATTTAAAGCTCTGATTAGCACTGGAACTGTTATGGACAGGTGTGTGGCTTACCATTAGGCGCACGACTCGTTGGTCCCGTCACTTGATATAAAAAAAAGTTCCCACGCGAGCCCAATGCCAATTAGGAACTAAATTCATTAAATTTCTTTGCAGATGTGTGCATTAATGCGTCAGATTTTATGTTCATACAAAAATAAAAATATTTTAATAGATCACACCAAACGTTCATAACCACCTGATAACTCTATGTGGTAACAAAAGAAAGCGTTAAATACCAGTCTGATACAAAACGCAGGCGCCCAGGTAGGGATTGTAGGGGAGGACGCTTGCACGTTTGAATTTACCATCAAGAACAGATCTCAAAAGTGGTAAATTAATTCTGTATAAACTTTACACAATTTTGATATCTCACATTATTAATACTACAAAAGACGCAAAGTTAGCGCAGGATGGCGTATTGGAGCCTTTTGCGGTTCGCGGTTACTATGGCGGCGGTGCCCGCGTCACCCATGATAGCGTGAACTTGGCAGGAGCTGTATCCACATAAATGGAATCGCACACTACTTGTGGGATTAGTTTCCACGGACCTATTTCTGCCGCAAATCAGTAATGTGAGCATTACCGTGTTTCAGTTTTAAAGGGTAAAGGTGCTGGTGAAATTACAGGCACATGGGACTTGTTAACTTATGTGTCAGGGTGACGGGCGCAATGGCAGTGCTCCTCAAATCTTTGCGATCCTGCGTGGCACAGCAACTGTTATGGATAGGCGTGTCACTGATTACGAAGCGACGACTTGTTTTCCCGTTACTTGGTATCATAAAAAAATGGACCGACTGTTGTAGCATCACATTGTTTGCGGCAGGTGTCAGTGGACACGATAATATGTGGTATTTTAGTAATGTGCAAAAGTCCGGAGAATGATGTAAGTGAGTACACATGATTAACTCGTTTGTTAGCAGTAATTTCAGAACCTCTACGCTTCCAGTTTCAGAACGTCACCAATACAGAATTAGACCACATTAAATCCTAGTCCGGCGACCTACTAAATCTATAGGCTTCATAGTCGATCGGAGCCAAATTAAATTGCCCGGGCGAAAGCACAGCTAACCAGGCCTTTCTCATGAAATATTTATACCTGCTAAGTTTTGCTCGGCTTGCATTACTCTAAATTCCGATATGCTAAAATACACCAGCTTCTAACGTCGTGAATGAAATTAATAACTATTTTCAAATCAAACACTCTATACTTCTAAAAACTCTGTTTATTGTAAAATTTTAATAAACTAACAACTGGATCGTTAACTAATGTTTTCACTCGGGAACCGTAAATAAATTCGAGATGTGTAAATTCTAATGTTTTATTAAATACAATACAGTTCATAACGTTAGGTAACTTACGTCTGAGTATTTTCACATCTTCGATTTGACTGTACCAATCCGATTCACTAACAAATAACGAAATTGGTGCACTGACCGAAGACACGTTGTAAACAGGTGGCTTAGAAGATCCATACACCATGTCATTTTCCTCTAAACTATAGTAATTGTATCTTTGGAAATTCTTACTAGCGTATCCTTGCATAAAATGTAGAAAAGTCTTGGTTGAAGTGCCGGCGGGTATATGACTAGCTATCACCGGAATCTTGCTAGGCGGTAAATTGTTTATATCTTTTAATCCGTAACTTATGTAATATTCTGCATCACACAAAACTCTAGCAGGGTTTGTTTTATTGCATACTTGGGCATGATATAGATTCAATAGTGGACTATTGGGAAATAAATTGTAGATCCCCAAACGGCTGGCAGCAATGGTTAACTGTCGCAAATTTTGTGTCAAAATATCTATAAAAGGGTACTTTAAGTTGCTCACCCAGGCGACTGGAGCCAGAAGCACTGCATGATTAATTTTTTTATTATATTCTGGTCGCATGCTGGCCATCACGAAAAAAATTGTCGTGCCCTGAGAAAAACCAACGTAGTCCAACTTCGGTCGAGAGGAGTTGAGCAAAATGTAATCGATAGTGGCTGGCAAGTCGCGTGATCCCATCTCTTCATAGCTGAAATTCCAGTACTGTTTTCTTGGAAGACTCCTGGTATGTCTCAGGCTGTATTTATTGCCCCTGGCGTTGTACACCCACACGTCGAAACCAACGTCGTATAGAAGAAACGCTAAGGAATTCGGAGGCCCTAGAATTAACCACGAGTCTGAACTATCACCAATTCCATGAACTAACAACACTGGTTGGCCTTTTTGGGGTATTCGAAACAAATTCACAATGTAACCATCTTCCGTAACCACTGAATGTGTCTCTGTAGGATAACCATTTGTAGAAATTAATTGTTTTGAGTCAAAAAATATAGAAGCACTGAGGTCATTGTTCTCGGCTGTTTTTATCTCTCTTCTTTTATTATGGGCACTGTTTATAGACAGAAATATGAAAATAGTGTGTATAAAGATGGAAATCCGGAGGTCCATCGCGGTTACAAAATACGTCAAGTAGTAACGAAAATCCAGGCAATTGTACGACTATCGCACGTGAACGAGGCTAATAACACGGTGCAAACCAAAGTCAATGTCACGGAGGGGACATTGGGGAAACTCGGCAAAGTAATAGTGAAGTTAATATTCTGTGTCGCGTTTTCTTTAGTACTACGTGAATATTAATAAAACATATATTAAAATATTGATTTTATTGAGTATCTCGGTGTTTTATTCCCATGATATTTATTTATTTACATATAAAGAAATTCGTTAAGTTTGCTGACTCGATCTGTAGTTCAGTTGGTATAGAGCTGTTGCCCTAGAATGGCATAAAGATGGTGGTTCGAATCCTGTCAGATCGAAGGTGTTAGGAATTAAATTAGTTACTTCTGTGTATTAGTAATTAAAGTACATATTACTTGCAACATTGTAATCATAATGTTTACATATATTTTTATTTTTATATTTTTTTGTGTTTTACTATTAATACAAAGATCGAAAGGAAAGAATAATGTTATCGATCTGGCCTTGAATCAGTGTCTGTTGCCATGACGGGGCCACCGCTCTTAACCAACTGAACATACTATTATTATCTACTTATTATATTTAGAAATTACGCAGTGTAAGATCTTTTTAGTTAATTTACAATAACTCAACGCCATTAATTATTAAGATCTGACAAATTTACTTTGTGGACATCAAAATAATTTGTACATTAGAAATGAATTTGATTTTTTGTCATATAGGATGACGTAATAATACTGAGAAGAAATATTTAACTGTACACACAATCACATGGCGTATTGGTTTCGATCAAATGGTTATTATTGTTTAAGTTACAGCAAGGCGTATAACAGCATCTAATAGAATTGAACAGAAACATTTATTTCGTATTTCTATATGTATATATAGATGAATAAAATATACTTTATTGTACATTATAATTACAATGACAACACAGAACAGTAATGTAAGTATCACGGAGTAAGCCAATGCACAACAAGCGGCCTTATTGCTGAGGAGCAATTTCTTCCTGGCAACCATAATATGAAACAAAATAGTATAACAAAAAAATATAAACAAACAAAAATTATTATTGTCGAAATACAACAACGAACGACATGAAATAGGAACAAAAATGCTATTTATAGTAGGTACCTACAAAAACATAAAATATACTTTTTGTATTTACTAGAAGAAACTTTTAACCATATCATCATAAAACTAACTACAAACTTAAATCAGGTACTCTCTAATCACAATTGTGCACAATAAATAATCTTAAGTACAGAATTTGCTCAACTAAGAAGTGGAGACCAGGTGTCCTGAGATATAGGACTCTCCCAGTTTAGGCTCCTATCTTTCACAAAATTTATATTTAAGCTCTGTTCAACTAGTTTTTTTTTATGAGGAGTTGAACAATTATATTCTTATTACAGAATATGAGGAAATTTGTATATAAGCAAGTAAAATTACAAAATTTTTTATAGTTTTTATTTCTTTTTTCATCAACCTCCTCTCGCGTTTTAATATATACAGAACTGGAACTGTCTGCGACCTCAAGCCTCACTACGTCATCAGAGTTCAATGCTAAAGTGATCAAACCAGTCGATGCCCAAATATAGCAAAAAAACCTGTCGTTATGTAGTCTTTTTGAGCTCATGGTATAAAGGCTTTCCAGTAGGCTTCATTTCCTTAGTTAAAGCAAATTAATGAAAACATAAATGACGAAAATAAATGTTACTTAATTATAATAGGCAACTCATTATTTACACATATTATAGCTAATACATTGCATGTAATTTTCAGCTAGTTATAAAAATAAATTTCACGTGAAAGTAGGGATATCTTTGTATCTAAAGTAAACTAACTACTGTAGTCGGTTATAAGCCCACATAGTTACACAAATAATTAGTTTCTTATTTTTTAGTTACAGCTTCCATGGCCGATCGGTTACCATACTGGTCTGCAACACAGTGAACCCGGATTCGATTCCCGGGCGGGGATAATTATTTTTATGGCTAATTTATTTCTCTCGTGAGTTTTGTTGTAAATGTAACCAGCAATACAGGTTTCCCTAGTGCGGGGCCATGGGTGTATACGTTATTATTATTATTATTATTATTATTATTATTAATGGTCAACTTGTAATTAAATGCCATACATCACAACTTGCTACAATCTAAAGTTAGACTTGTAAAACTAACTCTGTAAAAATGGACTTTAACCGAGTGAGTCTATCAAGATTTTTGATAGAATGAAATTCTTTACTTAAAATTGTTACTGCAAACAATGCTATATATCGCACCTACGGTGAAATATGGAATTAAAGCAGAAAATCTGAAAATGACTGACTTTGAAAATATACTCTAACAGAGATACATAAAACGGGAGAGTGGAAGAAAAATACACGTTGTGCCGACTCCACCCAGAGGCATATAATAAAGACAGGAAGAAGAAGAACAGACACAGAGTCCATTCGAGTTACGTGGTTCACAAGATTATCACCTCATTAGTATTGCATTGGGTTTGAATCCGGGCGCGAGCCTCCTCTCTCTATTGGAACCTCTGAGTTTCTTGGAATTTATGTGCGAAATTTAATTTGAAATTTACTGTGAAGGAAAACATCGTAACGAACCTGGGGGTCGATTCAGAACCTTACTATATCTCAGTTGTCGACCGATTCGATTTGATATCGTACGATTTCTTTTCATTTTTATTCACAACACCCGAATCGAACGTCAAACTGTCATATTCGAAACCGAACCGAAATGGCGTCACTCCCGTACTAATTACTCGAACTCGACCGACAAGGACTACAAACGTTACCGAACGTCCTATTATTTACAAAGCAGAATTAATATGGAATTCTCTTATTATTTTAAATAAAGTCTGGGTTTTGTTCAATTTTATCAATTTATTTTAATACAGACTTCATTTCATTAGCATTCCTATATTTTAGACCTTTTAAGTCTTAAAATGCACATAAAAGGATTTTCATCTTTGTTACAATCTATTTCACCGACTAACTCCGTAAACGCTGCTGCATCGTTATCCAATATATCGTATCATATCGATATCGTATCCGAATTCGAATCGAATGTTTAACTCGAATGTTTTGAATAGCTCGGAAAACGCCCTTCGATACCAAAACGGTATCCAATCGACCGATTCGGTTAAAATATCGAAGAGTTCTGAATTGGGGTCCAGCACATCGAAGAAGGTTCATAACCCTCAGAAAACGTATGAAGTCCCCAACCCGCATTGGACCAGTGTGGCGGACTATGGCCCGAACGGCCGCCTGAGAAGAGACCCACGCCCAGCGGTGAGACGTGTAAATTTGGTTGATTAGAAATGAAACAATTTTGTTTCACATGCAAATCGTGTGCATTTGTATTTTCAAACAAACCACAATTCCTTCTCATTACTTACTAAAATACACACATCAAAGGGACCAAGTACATTTTTGCTAATTACTGACAATCAGGTTTTTAACGAATTTTTTAACACCTTTATTTGATCAATTTCATTTCCAATTTCAAACTACAAAATTGACGAAAAAAAAGTGTCCAAATATATAAATACAAAAGATAAAACTTTTAACTATTTTTGATTTGAAATTTTTTTTTAGATAGGAACAAATTAATCTAGATTTTCATTTAATTTACAATTTCAGTCACCTTGTTTTTCAGTGACGTTACGTCGTACATATTGTGTAGAAAAAAAAAGATTGCTGGACAGGTTCTATGTGAAGAGAACCTGCTTGTATAGCTCCCACAACATCACCTATTTCTACAACAAAGGAATAATTCTGTGTTCCGAATTGAAGGCGAGAGGCACAAAGACACAAGATCTTAAGATCTTACGTCTCACGACAGACAACTCATGTACGATATTAAGAATTTCTTAGTAGCACATTTATTTATTATATACGCGAGATTATCTATTATCCAACAAACGGACCGTCTGACTAACTGTTTTGTGTACTGTTGAAAGAACTATCACAAACAAAGAAACAATTAATTTCAGTTATTTAAAGAATGCTAATTGTAACTTGGGTACGTAATACCTACACGATAGGCATAATTTAAATAGCGCTTTACTACAATACGAATAGGGTGTACTTTATTTAAATTTTAAGGCTATACCACTGGCCCATGTGTTTTGTACATTAACCGAAATCTCAAAGAATTTCATGAAAATTTTCTTTCGTGATGTGTCACATTTTAAAGCATGCAGTGACTATAAATACCTCTAAAACGAACAATTAATGAAAAGCAAAAAGTTTTTAGGTTTTCGTTTTTGCTACACATAGGAAATGAAATCATTTTTTAAAATCTAAATTGCGTATATATGTTTTTCCAACAAACCACCTTTTCGGCCACTTTACAGGTCCCACGGTCACGTCTGACTAGGATGGTAAAGTCATCAGCCAGTTATGTTTAATATTAATGCAAACTACCATAAGATAAATTTGTTACTTTACAAAACAAACAAATATAGGGTATTTAGACCCGTAAAAATAGTTTAATTTCCTTAGTAAAAGCAAATTAATGAAAACACAAATGATGAAAATGAACTTTTGTTTATGATAATAAGCATCTATATTATTTGTACTTTATATAGGTCAAATACATTGCATGTTATTTTTAGCTAGTTTATAAAATAAAAATCACGTGGAAGTAGGGATATCTTTTTATCTAAAAAAACTAACTCCAGTAGTCAGCTATAAGCCCACGTAATTATACAAATAATACTTTTTTCATTGGCATTGTAGAACATATATAAATGGTATTAGACATAAAGAAAACCTTTATTTATTTTTAGATACTTGACTTTTTTATTATTTTAGATGCGATCGAAGTTGCCGGTACCGCTAGTGATTAACAACCAATTTAACTGTTTAATTAAATAACTTCTTATATTAATAACTTCTAACGTTCTTGAAATCTCCATTATGAGTAGAACATTGTTTTCTACAAAACTTGTTTACA